TTTTTTTTTTTTAAAGAAATGTGAATTCCCATAATATCAGGCCATGTGCTGGTTTAGATACCAAGTTACACTGTACAGTCCAGCTGCCCTCCAATCTCCTCTGATGCATGGTGACCCCATGTGAGAGCAGAGCTGTGTCCCACAGGGCTGTCAGTAACTGATTTCTCAGTTGGTCACCAGGCCTCCCTTTCTATAAAGGTGCGTACACATCTGGATCGTGATGAACTGGGAGACCCTACTGGTTTCCTCCTGCCATCCCTGTAGAGAGTTTAAGGATATACTGAGGTCCCTGTGCCCTTTTTTCCTCCCTCACGATCAATGTCCCCCAGCTTACACTCTTGCTAGCTCTCTATCAATCAGTCCAGTTTTATCATTTGGCTGGGCTTTGCATTTCATGGAGTCCCTGGGTGGTATGAGGCGTTAACGCACTTGGCTGCTGAAAGAAAGGCTGGCAGTTAGAGTCCACCCAGAGATGCCTTGGAAGAAAGGCCTGGTGATACGCTTCCAGAAACTCAGCCATCTGAAAACCCAACGGAGCAGCATTCTACTCTGACATGCACGGGTTACCATGAGTGGAAATCAGCTCGGCGGTACTTGGTTTTTCACTGATTTTCAGATGAACAGTAATCACAACATGTGTGATTCTAACTAGAGTAATGTCTTCACTCACCCGGATATGCTGGAGATAGAGAGATAAGTCACGGATAAAAGATTTGATCATTCTTTCTTGCATTCTGAAATTCTTCTCTGTTTCTTCAAATACTTCATCTTTTATCTGCTCAAAATAAACAAATGTTGCCAGTGAGTTTGGACTCTTGCTCAATCATTCTAACTGGCAAAATCATCTTTATTAAAAATACCTTTTGTTCAAATTTTAAACCTTTGATGGTTCCCTGAATCATACTGAATTAACTTTAAACACCTTTACATGGCTTTAAGAGACCTCCAGAATGCACAGGGGCCCTCCTCCTTATGTTTATGCCTTAATTCCCATGGCCCCTGATGTAAATCCTTTACTCCTGTATGGGGGCTTTCTTCTCTGTTCCCGGCACACGCCACACTGCTGGCCTCAATGCCTTCTCTCAGTTGTTGCCCTTGTCTGCTATGCCCTCCCCTCTCACTGCACCAAACCCACCCCCTTCGTTTAATTAAGGCTTGGCTTGCATCTCATGCCAACATGAAGGTCATCTCACTGAGCTCTTATAGCATTTAGGGGACATACTGTAAAATTTAGCAACTGATTATATTCTAGCTTGCATTTTCCACTCATTGTATCACATACACATGGGATAGCAGAACGAAGTCTGGAGACTCCAGGTCTAAGATCAGTCCTACAATTAAGTAACTGCTTTTCAACTCAGTCTCTTAGACATTAAGTTTCCTTATTTGTACCAATATGGCGTTGAACTACGTGATCTCTCAACAGATGTACAATTGAAATTTTCTCTTCCTCAATAGATTATAAGCTCCTATGAGTGTCTAGTACTACAGGAATTATTCTATGTTGACTGATGTGGCCTCCTAGTTTGCCTTCAGACATACTAAACAGCTCACCAATGGAGCAATGGACAGCTGGGTGGGTGGATTCACATTAATAGTAGCTGCAGGATCCTGTATCCACCAACTAGCAAGCACCAAAGGAGGTAAGAAGAAGGGAAGTGTGCCAACTGGCACCACGCAGGCTGCCCTGGGATCCCTAAACACTGTCAAAGGCATGCCGGACCTTCAAGTACAAGGACCTCACCTGAGGAGCAAAGCCAGTGAGGTGTTTCAGGTGGCTGCTAACTCGGTTGGATTTCTTGATGATGGAGTGGATGTTCAGTTTGGAAATTTTCTCCATGAGACTATCTTCATCCCCCTTACGGTACTTGAGGACTAGGGAATGAATCAAGTTGGTGAGTCAAGAAAGCACTTTCTTGAGCATGGACAGACGACTAAGCTACAGAGACTGTACAACCCAAACTAAAGTGAGTCCTTATCTGCAATGAGCTTCTAACTTAGGAGTACAGACAAAATACTAATACAAGCAATCATTCAGGGACAAACATAATACCTAAAGAAAAGCAAGTGCAGATTGTGTGGCCAGCATGGAGAAGGCTTAAAGACAAGGAGGAAAGGTTGCAGAGATGTAAGGGAAAGAACCAGAGATTTAGGGTCAAGGAGACCTCTGAGTTCAGTGCTTGGGTATGTCACTTACTTAAGGTATGGCCTTACATAAGTCACTTAAATTTTCTGGAGCCTCATTTTCCTACTGAACAAAACGTGGACCATGACAATACCTCCCTTACAAGACCATCTTAAATGGTCTCATATATAACTGAGATGCATGTGTAACTGTGTCATGCAGCAAAATGCTACATGGTAGTTACTTAATTATGATAAACTACTATGTCATACATTAGGCACAATCTGCAGAAAAGTCTAGCGATAACAGTAGAAAGGTAACAAGGGAAAGTGTGACAGCAAATAGGAGTAATTTGCTATTGCGGAAGATGAGGACTACATTATGTTAGGTGACGTAAACAAGAGAAAGGGCTAGATGGCCAGAGAGCTTTAACAGCCACTGTCAACATTACACACTAACGCAGGTGACGTGGTTGGAATAGGTGACAGAGAAAATGATTTTAGATAAAAATGGAGAACAGTGGAAAGACAGGCAAAGAGGTTACACTCTAGTACAGCTGCTTTGAAAATATGAGTAAGAAAGTGATACCTCCTCGGAAACCCAAGGAGGGGTTGCTATCAATTGGGTCTGACTCAATGGCAAATAACAACAACAACAACAACAAACCAGTTTAGCAGTCCCCATGCTATCCTCATTGAGTGTTCAAATCTGGAGCTCAACAAGACATATGATGAAAGAGAAATGAAGAGACCAGTTTGTTCTACCTTATAAAAGTGGAGTGGATGGTTTGGCAACAGACTGTACAGTATCAGAGGAGGCAGGCTATTGGTTATTGGCAGGAATTATGGGGCCCAGACAGATGGGCAAACTGGGATTTTTCTCAAAGAAAAAAAAGTCCAAGGAATAGGAATAGGAATAGGAGAAGAAAATGGAATGTGTGGCTAATAGCCTCCATGGTCCTCCATTGCCATGAGGCCAGAACTAGATGGTCCCTAGCTACCATTATTGGACACTTACATTAAAGATTCTATGGAAGAACCTTGATCCAAAAGGGAGGAGGGAATGTGAAACAGAACTTCAAATCCTCACAGAATCCAGAATTCGTGGAGCCACTGAGGCGAGATGAACCCCTGAAACTACTTGCCTGAGATAATCTTTAAACCTTAAACCAGAAATACCCCCTGAAATCTTCTTTAAACCATAACAGTCTAGTTTACCTAAAAAAAAAAAAATGCCTGTCTTGAGCATCATGCTTTTTTAAGAACTATTCATATAGGCTCAAATTGACAACAGCAACTCGAAAGATGAGGTAGGAACCTTCGGGGGCAGTGAGTTTATGTTAATGGAGGAGGAACAATTCAGCAAGGGAGGGGGAGGGAGAATGGATGCACACCGCAAAGACTCATCTATGTCACTAAATTGTACATACAAACGAATTGGTGCATGTTTCTGCTGTATGTTCTCAATAACAGTAAAAACAAAATAAATTATTTCAAAAACAAGATGACAGAAAGTCCTAGCTTTAGTGAAGGCACTAAGACATCCAGTTAGAAATGTAGAGACAACAAATCTAAGCATGGATTGAGGAGGACTTTCATGGGCTGAGACGTAACTATCCGCACTTGATGGAACTCGTGATCAACTATTCTCTAATCTTTCTTCCTCCTTCTTGGGAAAGACTCTTATGTCTACAAACTTTATCAGATGCCTTAATTCCAACATTCCATGATTGGGCTTTTATTTATTGTTTTTTTCTTTCTTCTTTATTTTTTTAAATTCCCTCAAATTTCTCCTACTCTTTCTTCATTACAGCCCTATTACTTACCACTTGTCATGGAGTAATTAATTCTAAGGAGGAAAGCTGCTCAGGGCATACAGCTCCTTCTCAGACATAAGTTTTTCTTACCCAGGTCCTTTCGACGCTTATATTCGTTAATGTTAACGTTGATTTCTTTAACTGCAAGGACTGCACTGGTTAAAGGCACTTTGTCTGGGTGGGATTCTGGGGTGGTGTTCAGTAACTCCATTAGCAGCAGTGGGTAACGCATTACTCTCTGCACTGGTTTGATCAGGAAGGAGCCCAGGTTAATATAATTTGTACAACCC